GTTGCAACATGACCATTGGATTTGTTGCAACATGACCATTGAATTTGTTGCAACATGACCATTGGATTTGTTGCAACATGACCAATGGATTTTTTTTATACTTATCTTGTCTATATATTTAACACTTTTTTAGAGCATTACAATGAATGTTAGACATTATATTCAATCTTTTATTGACTGATTTTTTATAGTCTAAGTTTGAACAATTTACTTATTCAAATTTATTAAATTTTTCATTAAAATCCCATAATAATTTTATGGCTCTCGGACACCATAGGAAACCAGGTACAATTAGTAACTTAAATCCAGACTCTTTTTTTATTCTCTTCATCCTTGCTGACGAGTTTGTGTTGCAGTTAGACTAAACAGATTTTATCTGGGTATTGCCAACTACGAAGAACGTTTTTTTGGGGTTTCATGATGAATATTTTAAATTGCTAAAGTTTTAAATGTTAGTTACATACGTTCGTTATTAAATAGTTTAATTGTATAATGTTAATATCCACCTTTTTAAAAATGTTTAAGATGTTTTAAATTGTAATCACACTGTGGCAACATTTTAAAGTAATCTATTCATAATAAAATATTAAATTATTTTATCACAGCATGTTGTATACTTTTTTTAAAATTTGCTGTGAAGTAAATCAAATATACAATTATAAAATCTTAAAAACATGAAATTAGGAATGGAGTTTTAGCCCATAATAATCCAAGTAAATCTTTAAATAAATATAACTGTAAATATCCTAAACTATGTATAACTGTAAATTTGTATTGCGTATAGATAACATTTTACTTCACAAAGTTATAAAAAGATCCTTAATTATTATTAGTCTAAGTTACTATGGTGATGGCATGTTAATGACTTCAACTTTATTAGTCACTAATAAAAACAAATGTAATTGTAACTTGATAGCCATATTGTATATATATATTGTGACCATGTTGTATACATTCTGTAACCGTTTTGTCTAAGTATATATGCAATAAATTTTTATTTTGTGCAATTGTTTATATTTAATTTTATAAAAGTTAAAATGAATGCAAGCACTAATAGCAGAAAAATGATAAACATTGAAGCAGAAATTTATCACGAATCATTTTGGCCATTGAAATGATTTGTAGAACCATTGTCAAATAGTTTCGAATCAAACCATTGTACGATAATAGTTTTTTACTGCATAAATATATTTCAATAATTAAATCTGTCTTTTAAATTTAATTATAAAAAAAAAAAATGTCAGACCAAATAATTATGTGCCCAAACATTTATATACCCAAATCATCTAATACATTTTATATTTTTTAAACGAATAAAAATTACGCCAATTTTTAACTAAAAAAATCCAGCCGATTCTGTTCGAAAAAAACTACAAATAATCAAGAAAACGGAGGCTAAATGGAAAATATGTATGGGCTTCAAATAGAGTTGCACAATGAAAATCAATAACAATACCATGCGTAACCCATTTAAATTCCAATGATAAAATTCAAATGGTACCAAAGAAAAAAAATTCTGTAGAATTTTGTATAAACTTTTGAAACATATGGCCAGAAACTCTATAAAATTCCATAGAATTTCTATAGAGTTTCTGTTAACTTTTATATATCTCGTTGAAATTTTTTTTTCTATTTTTTTTTTTATAGAAAAAAATTTTTTATAGCAATATCTATAGAAATTAATAGACATTCTATAGAAATTCTATAGAGTTTCTATAGGCCATATGTTTGAAACGTTTATAGAAAATTCTATAGAACTTTTTTTCCTGGGTACGGTGTAGTAATGGCTAATCGTTGTTCTGCCAGTTCTTGTCCTGGCTAGCTACGGCTAGTCCACAAAAAATCCTTAGAGCAAAACGAAGCTTCAACAACGTCGACAACCGCAGTTGATTGAGGGCAACAGCCTACACAAGACCAGTGCGGGATTATTATATCCTTTTTGTCTAAATACCAATGACGCATTTTAAAAAAAAATTTTAAAATAAGCTAATCCTGTTTATTGCGCCTTGGCCCCCACTTTTTTTCAAGATTTTTAACTTTAATATAAATAAATTTTTATAAATGTACTATAAAATATAAAGAAATTCAACTTCCCTCAACCCCCTCCCTCAACCCCTTCTCTACCTGATGTTTTATTATGTAAACATTTTTAAGCTAAAAAACGTTTTTGACAGCAGTACAGAACTTCAAGATAAAACCTACATGGAATTTTTTTTTTTCAATAACTACTTAGCCAGTAATTATTATTCTATACCATAAAACATAGAATGTTTTATAGTTTAGATTAAAATATGTAAAACACATTTTGTTATGACTGCTGTTATAACAAAACACATACAACTTACACTTACTCTGCCCTACGTACAAAATAGACAATTAGTGAAAAAAAAAGAAAAAAAAAGATTTAGGACTAGAATTGACTTCATTAACATTTATTCTCTTATGGTTCAAAGCAAAAAGACTGTATTCGTTTTCTTTCTTACCTAAATCATGATAATAAAACTAAAAAATATTTTAGCACATAACAAAAAGACACATAGCAAAAAGAAAAAATTATGATAATTAAATGAAAAAATTTGAAAAATCATTAAAACCTCAGAAAAGCTCTTATGGAAGTCAATTGATGATATTGACATGAACTAAGCTGACTATTTGGCTAAATACGTTTTTTTTTATTTTAAGAATATCTCAGAATGGAAATTTTGCAATTACTGTCTATTTTAAAAGTAGGGCAGTACTTAAATATATTGATGTTCAAAAATGTGTAAAATTTAAATGAATTAGATTTTTGTAAAGAGAAGAATTTTCTCAAAACGCTTTTTAAGTAAATCAGCATAATGCATAGACACTAGTATACACTTGTACTAACTCCTTCATAGGTGCAAAGCAGTTACTAATAACCTGACGCGTAACTACATGAGTGTGTCAAAATAAAAATAGAATAAATATAAGCAGAAGCTTAATCATTATTTGATATATGAGTTAATTTCCTTGAAGGTAAATTTTAAATACTTATACTTTTGTATGTTTATATTTATATCATATAAGGTTGCATTCTAAAATAATGCATAATGAGCAAAAATACTCTTTTAAAATAGGCATTTCATGCCTAAATTTAGAGGATTTGGTTTTTCAGAAAAGGTAATCTATTTCCTCAAATAGCAATTTTATTTAGAAATATATATATTATTATTTAGGAGTATATATAATGGTTTAAGGGCTAAGAAGATATATATAAGTATAATCTATAACCTAAGCATAATTATATTTTTTTAATATAACTTTAAATCTTTGAAAAAATTTCAATATAGCCGAAGGTAATTAAATTTATACTTTTAAATTATCGGTTTCCCTCATTTTTGGTTTTTGAGGTGATTTGTGATAAAACTCCATAGCGTCCTCAAAAACTCAGAGGTGTAGCAAGGGTTTAGAACAGGCATCACAAATTTTTACATGCTTTTATGATCGTTTTCACAATAAAACTCAAGCAAAGTAACTATTGACATTATTTGGACATGTCTTTTAAAACTTTGTATTTATAAATCTGAATTTATCTTATTATTTTTATTATTATTAGGATAAAACTAAATTATTTATTTCAATAAGTAAGGAATAGAGTTAGGGTAAGTTGGCGAATTTCGGGCAGCATCGAATTTCGTGCAAACAGCCTTTCGCATCAAAAAAGTTACACTGATGCTAAATTAATTAAAGTGTTGTTTTGCTTTTCATCAAGTTACTGCTAACTCCATGTCGGTAGTCCAAATATTTATATTAAAAAAGCTATAATATACATTTTTTGATAGTTGTTAAAAAACTGAATATAAAAAATATTGTTTTTTTACTTTTTGTCACAAAAAAATGCTGAGTCAGCAAAAAAAAGCAAAAAACATGCGGTCACAAGAACATGAATAACTTGAGTAATATTTAAGATAAAAGCTTTAAATTTTACAAACATATATCTAAATGGTTGGTGGTGGGCGCCTAGTAGAATTTTTTAAAAAATACAGAGCCAAAGTAAAATGGCAGATTTTAACCTGTAAGTATCATAAAAAATGGTTCGCGGGGTATGTAAAATTTTAAATTCTGCTCAAAATAAAAAGTATTTTTTGTTTATTCTACTACCAGCCTTTTCTACAACTTCAATGAACAAACTGTGAAAATTTCAAAGAAAAAGAGTTAATAGTTTCTGAGATATCAATGTTCTAGTTTGAAAATATTTGAAAAATATTATTCTAAGAAAAACAGCTTTTAAAATAAAAAATGTCATCAACTAAAAAAATCTCTAATTAAAAAATATCCAAATTAGCCACAAAAATATGATTAACCACCTTTAATATTTTGTTCTGTGTCAAAATAATCTCTTTACAACACTTACAAAAAAATTGTGAAAATAGAGCAAACATAAACAAACATGGTTGCTAAGGCCGTTGCTAGGGATTCGAAATTTACCTAGTTGCCTTTAAATACTAATTTAAGTACTTTATATTGGTTTTTAAAGGGAAAAAAAAATTATACTCGTAATCCAGGATGTTCAAACTGTTAAAATTAAAAAAAATTATTTTTTGTTTTTTGATGTTTTTAATAGGGTAGTACCACGTTAACTTTTACACTTAACTGTACGAAAATGAAGCACAACATTTCTTTGAAAGAAGTACTAATCGTTCACCCAAGTTTAAAAAATATGTTTGGAAAGGTAAAAAAAATAATAATAATAATAAACAAATTCTTTTTTGATGTAAAAAATTTCTGCACAAAATATCGAAAGCATCATTTTTCGTGCATTATGCCCGAAATTTAATTTACACAGTATTAAATTTCGTGCATTATTTTATTTTTACCTAACAATGATTTTGAATGTTTATATGGTTTTAACTATCTTTAAAAGTATTCCGTAAGATTGCTTGTGACGTTTTTAAAACAAAACAAAAAAATTAAAGCAACAGGTGCGAAATTATCCGCATGGCTGGATTTTTTAACTAAGCAACATTTGAATTCAAATTTCAACTTTTTAAAAATAAAAATCATCAAAGTAGAAAATACAAGTTATATTTTTTTAATCAAGTTTGTTATTGTGACTATGGACTCTAAAAAAAGACAGAAGTATCAAAAATGTAACGAGGAAGCTGTTATGGTCGCTGTCGCTGATGTTCAAGAAAATCATTTTTTAAGTAAAAGGCAAGTTTAAAATGTACCTTCTCAGACATTCGGTGATAGAATAAATGGCAAATACGGTGCCGCCAAGCAAAAGATAGGTAATTGTTGTTTAATATATTTATTTACTTACTATGCTAGATGTAATTCTGCATAAGCAATAAAATTGCATACGATTTTTTCAGAAGATAACATTTTTTTTACTTAAAGGTCGCGAACTTGCTTTAGAAAAAGAGGACAAAGAAAGAGTAAAAGACTTTTTGAATAAAGCAGCAAAAGTAGGATATGGTATTTGCCAAAACGATGTACCAAGCATAGTAAAAAATTATTTAGACATTAAAGAAAAGCAGCATATAACAGAGCATCAAGTTAACAATAAAAAAAACAACCGATATGACAGCTCATAGAAAGTTTGTGAATAATCTGCAAAGCAAGTTTTGGATCTACAGGTAAATAGTTGCTACTCTATTAAGTGTTTTGAATATATAATAAAGAAATGACACAAAATTTTAGATTTTGATTGACCTATGATTGTTTTGTATCTGCTTAATCAATCTGTGTTTAATTTGATAAACCTGTTTTTTTTTTTGGTAGGTTTTTCAGGTATTCAGACCTTGCTAGAAGAATGCCTGAAAATTTGGGCCACCAGCGGCGAAACGTTTGAAACGACAATGGGAAGGCTGAAAATAATAGTCTCAAAGGGTATAAAGAATGTTTATCGCATAGCCCCTGACACAAAAACGCCAATAACAGTTCTTGGCTGTGCATCCGGAAATGAAAACTACTAAAAACCTCAAGTTATATTTCCAGGAGCACAGCCTCGTTACAATTTAGACCATGTAAATCCATCTGACTTATGTTCTTCAATTTAGACCACGTAAATCCGTCTGACTGAGTTCAATTCTTAATTGTTTTTTATTTTATTGGTTTATAAAAATTTCTAAGTATTTTTTAGTTTTCTCTTAAGCATTAACGAAAGATATATTTTCAGTGCCATTTCAGAATAATATTCGACAAATAATGTTTCGGGCTCACCCAAAAGGTTTTTGGCGTAGCTTATATAATTCTATAAAGTTTTTTAATATCATCACTTTTTTTACTGGTCCTAAAAGTTAAGAGGACCTTTTAACTTTTAGGACCTGTAAAAACATTTATAATTAGGCCCAGTGATCGAGCCTATAAACAGGCTTGATCACTAAGCCAAATAAATAGCCGCGGGCTCTACGTTATGTTCCAACAAAATAATCCAACTTTAAGTCAAACATTTAATCACTAGCAAAAATTTGCAAAAAACTATATATGAATTAAGTATTGCATCTTGAATAAATCTACAAGATTTAACTTATAAAAAAAAGTGCATGAAATTAAATTTTACTTCGTCAACTTGCACGAAATTGTGCAAATCATCAACAAAAAAAAAATTCATAACGAAAACAAAAATAAAATATAGTATTTAATAATTGCCTAAATTATTACTATTTTGTAGATAATACGTTGGCTGCCTAAATTAAGCTAATTATACGTTTAGTGGCCGTTTGGTTATATTCTATAACGTTTACGGCAAATGTTCAGCAAACTGCCCGAAATTCGCCAATTTACCCTATACTAATATAATTTTACTACAAGTAATATTTACCAAAATAGTATTTTTTTTTTTTTTTTTTAACAATGTTTTTAGACATTATTTAGAAAGTCAACCTCAACAACAACAAAAAAAAACGTTTTTGTTGTAGTAATGTGTTACAGATTTACATAATTCTTTTTAATCCTGTAAATTAAATAACTATCTGCTTATTTGACAATAACCAGATAGTCACACGATTATTAGATTTTGCTATTTCAGAGTGTTCTTTCTAAAATATCGAGTATAATTATAAATATTACTGTAATATTACAAAACTCACTTAATATTTTGTGAAGCTGTGTTAAAAAGTAAATGAACAGAAAAATCTTCTATCGCCATATTGCAAAGTTGTACATGTGAGCAGTGTTTAAAAAAATATATATTATATTTTGAAAACTTTACTTAACACAAATAGGACATACTTTACAAACGCATGCTGTACGTTCATGTCGCTAGCATCTATTTCAGACATTTCATTATTTATAGTAGCTTATAGAGTTTGTATGACATTGTGTTAATTATTTACGCTGAATTTAACTTTATTAATAATAAAATAAAAGTTGAAATCTCGGCATAAAATTTTGCAAACATAAACAAATCAGGGGGTCAGTTTCTAACAAAATTTCTTCAAAATAAAACAGTTACACTCTAGATTGAAAATTGAATTAAGCATAATTTAGAAAATACAGCATAGAATGACATTATGTCTCAACCAATGGATTTTATACTTGGTATGAGATTGCTTCCTGAAAGTTTTTGCTATGATGCACATTTATGTATCGTTTTTTAAAATATAAAAAAGTATAAAAGTTTTAAATTTAAGTATATAAATGTTGTAAAACCTATTAAGAAATAATGATTGATTGGCTTTTGCTTTTTCTCATTTTAGCTTAATCGCTAAACTGCGCTAATATTTTAACTCTTTCTTAATGTTAAGTTGTATTGAAGTTCTTATGGTTAGCTAAATCAAAGACAAATTGATTATAAAGTTTAGCAATATCTTTCATATTTAATCATATTTATATTTCTGCTCATCCAGAAATCAAAACCCGCTTTATAGCTGCTAACATATTATGCGTTTATCTAGAAATTTAGGAAGCCATTCCGTAAATTGTCTAACCTGGTGATTTGTTTAGAAGATCTTGTTAAAAAACTCGCTTTTAACTAAACATGGAATCTCTTGTTTATTCGAAATTAAAATATTTATTTGTTTCAAATAGGTTAATATATTAACCTAAATTGTTCTATATATAGAACAATTTACCTTTTCAGTTTAAATCACTAAACCCTATTACACAATTTAATACTTATTTGCCTATTTGTTAGAGAGGTACTGTTTGTAGAGTTGTGGACTATTAGTTAATTAAAATTACTTATTTGGTTAATTTACGGTAGTTACTAAATTTACTTGGAAATTTTTGAATTCAATTGAAAATCTTAAAAAATCAGGTTAATTGAAATCAAGACTTTATAAGACTAAATTTTTTCAAATAAGATAATTTGTATATATTTTATATAAATTTTGAACTTATAATTTTCTATTATAATTAAAAATATGCAAAGATATTTTACATTCCTAGCTAATAATTATGTTTATTTAGACTAATCAAGTTTTAGATGTAACTCAACGGGCATTTGTTCTAAATGTCTCTTAAACGTTTTTTAAACGTCTTTTAAACGTTCTTTACGTAAGAATGTTAAGAAGACGTTTAAAAGACATTTAAAATACATTTAGTACGTAACTTTTAAAAATAAATGCCCGATGGGAAGTACAAATATATATGTAGAGATCGAAGTATGAAGAAATTTTAAAAACATTGTGTAAACTGGTAAATGCATAACATATTTAATTATTAAAGACAGTTTCTCAATATTTTTATTTAAAAAAAGACAAAAATAAATAAAATTAACTTCTGCATAGATCCACATAAACCCCTATTTATTTGTTACTATAAATAACTATTTATCAATATTATTATTTAATTTTTATAAAAATGTATTGCAAAAATGAATTCATATGAGGGAAGAAAATTCCTAAATACGGGAAAATACGTCAGACCTTATCCAAAAGTTTTGAGCTTTGTATAAACGACTTGGGCCTGTTTGAATAAACGGAAGAAACTTTTTACGGAGAAACTGACTTGATTTGTTAATTTGTACGAAAAACATAGTAGAGGAAACCGTGAATTTTCTGGAGAAAGTGCTGCCATTTTACTGAAAAATAAAAATTACGGAAATCGTAAAAATTTACTGAAGAAAATTTTATTCTCTCTTTGCTGCCTGACTTTCTCCGTTGAATCAGCAGCGAATTGTTAAACAGTGTATGTGATATTTTTGCCCTGATAACGGGTAGTAAAACTTCGCTTATTGAAAATGTATTTATTATCTTTTTGTTCTATCAATTCCAATTTTCTACTATACTTTTATAAAAAAATAGACCTTTTGAAATGAGTTCGTAACTAATTGATACTGTAGTTTTTGATTATGACCTTTATTTTTAACATTTTTTTGTTCTTATGATGCGCTGTGCCAATTTATAATGTCTATATTATTGATGAACTAATACATTTGTAAGTCACTTGCTGTAAATGATTTTTATTCGAATACATATATGGGTAACTGCATTTTTAAAAATAATTTTATGAAGCAGTCAATATTAAGGTTTAACCATTTTTTAAATATTAGTAAAATCAATCGGGTTAAAATATTAACCCAAAAATGTCTTTCGAAAACTTATAATAATAAAGTATTATTCAAGTGTATGGAAAGAACAAATAAAAAATTTACCTTATTCCAGTCATCCTGAGAAAAATAGAAGTAGTTCTTAGCCCAAACAAGACGGTTTTTAATCAGGCGTAAGTTTTGGCTTCTTCAAAAGTTTTATACACTTGAATTCTAAATCGTAACATTTTCTTCTTAAAGATCGAAGTAAATTGTTGATGCCCTTGGCTTTCAAAACGCTTTTAAGTTTTATTTCGGCCATCTTACGATTTTGTTAAACAACTTATTTGATTTTTTGGTTATCATTAGAACTTGTTATTCTTTTTCGACCACAGCAACATGTTCTCTGTACTTATTATTTGATCCCCATTTTTAGTTAGGAACTTTATCTTTTGACTTTTACCTTCGAGAAGTTGACAGTTTTTGCATTACTTCTTTGGTTGCAATTTATTTCTGGCATAAGAACAGCGATTTTAGCTTCTTCACTTGGGAAAACATCATTTACGTCACCTATTGTTAATTCTAAAACAAGCGCAACATGCAATAAGTTGTTGCATGATTAAAAAAATAATCTAAAGACAACTGAAATATAATTTTTAAGTTGTAAAGACAGTCTACAATAATATTAAATTACTTTTTAATTAATCTTAATTAACTAAAATTTACCATACCTTTTTATGAAATTGAAAAATTATTTTAAAAGTACATATATTTTATAAATATTCCTAATTTAAAACAAAAATGAATGAGACAGGAAGTTCACACATTAACAACAAAAAGTAAATAGTCTATGAAAAAAACTCTATAAAACTATCATTTTATAGATGCTTAACTAGTTAAAAATAAAATAAAATTCTTATAAATACAATGAATAACTTTAATATAGCACAAAGGATAAAAAATCTTCATAAAAAGTTAAAATATGAAAAGTCAATTGTAAGATTTATATAAATTTAGCGATCATCGAATTTATCTCCGTTAAATATAAAACAGAGAAAAAAAATGCTGAAACTTTTAGTACGTGCGGAATAAGAACTTGTGTTAATAAGCAAATAATAATATAAAAAATTTTCGACCAAGAGGTAATCCACTGTTATTCAGAATCGATATTGAACAAATTGAAAACAATCTTTGATAAATGAATACACCATATTTAATCAAATAATTTACTCCAGCGATCACAGACTGTCCGCTAGACATCTTGAGGAAGTCTTACAAACTTGTGACGTCCAGTACACGTCTTATAGACGTCCTGCGGGTGTCTGTGCCTGCTGGGACAGTTTTAGAAGCCAACTAGCCTGGTTTAGGTCAAGGTAACTATTTACTTGCTTCTCGAAAGCATGACATCACTATATCAAAGTTATAAAAATAAATAAATGTCCTAAATGCATTTATTTATTTTTAATTAATTATTTTAGGTGCGAAAAAATGTCCTTACGGGTTTATCACAGAGTTCCGCGGAAGAGCATGTAAAAGGAAGTTCATGCCTCCTTCCTTACCGATGTTATTAAACTGGATTAATTATTAACTTATTTAAAAGATTTGATACGGCCCAGAGGTGGTGTTGAACCATGGATCTCTAGTTTCTGAGGCAAGTGCGCTAAATACTGCGCTACGGCTGCTCATTTACAATCTTGGCAACTACAAAAAAATCAATGAAGAATTTAACAAAGATTTTTTAAAGCCTTAAACGTAGATCAATGTTATCAGTTCAAAAAATACATAAATTTTGTTTTTGGTTCATCTCATGAATCCAAAAAAAAAACAACCATGGGTGACGAAAGAAATGTTGTCTCTAATTCATTTAAAAAAAAAAATACTCTGAATCAATCTGAAAATATTGACTGTTCAAACATTCAATCAATTTACTGGCATTTACTTCTTTTTTTTCATCACAAGAGCTATCATTTAAAACTTCGGAAACGCTAGAATCTGATGAATGTTCACTTTTCCTTTGTAGTTTCTGCTCCTTTGTTTTTTTCGATAAGTTTTTCAATTTGTTTTTTTTTATCTTCGAATGACATCTTATTTTAGCTTAACATTTTTTTTTATTTTCAAGTTCAAATTTGTAATTAGATGAAGTTACTTTTGAAGATTTTTGAGTTATTTGTCCTATTTTTAAGTTTACTGTTGGAATTGGGCTTAACTCTGATGTCTTGATTCTGCTGCTGCTTGAAGAAGTTCTCGGAAATTTGGATAAATTATCAGATGACGATGGCTCAACTGGAGGTATATTCTCCAAGTTAATTATGAAGAGGAAAGCTTGATGGTTGGAAGATATTTCTTCTTCAGGGGTATAGAACGGTTTTTTGGAATAGATTTTGTGAACTTTTAGCAGTGGCTGCCATAAACAGGTTTTTCAAAAAAACTTCACTTATATCATCATGTATAAGTGAGCGTATTGTGCGAAGATCGCTTTTAACTTTTTTGCAATATGCACTTTTTTGCAATATAAACTTTGAGGGGCTGCCTTGAATAAAATGTATATACACGGTATAAATGTATACACATAAGTTACCCTATTTTTTTTTTTTTTTTTTCAAATTGCTAATGATTGTCGATTGAGTACTAGCTTGATAAAATATTTAAAATGTACATAAAATAAATTAAACCGAAGTATATTTATCTTTAAGTTTTCTGAAGTTACGCATAGTAGAACTCGGTACATCGGACCAATTGTTTTATCAATTCTTTATTCGATAAAATTAATGTAAAGTCGTTACAAATT